GAGACTCATGTGCCACGACACCCTCCATCCCCCGTGACTCTCGTCAATGGTCAAGTTCAGCGTCTTTGAAACCAGGCTGTGATTTGCAGTCTAACCCATCGCCAGCTGCCCGGCAGAGTCCTTGATTAGCCTGCCCAGGGCACCCGGACGAGACGCTTCACAATGTCGTCACTTCCAAGGCCTCATGCGTTGATCTCTCATGAGCTGGGTTTAATTGGATATTAAAAGGTCTCCAAAAATATTGCACTGTGACTTGGCCTGGCAACAAAATATTGTCTTATGCATATTGTCCCTGCAGAAAGACATGAAAATAGAGCAGCATGATATACGAGGAAATAAGTCTAAATAAATTGGAAGGCGATGATAAGATAATGCTAAATTAAAAAAAAACTTAAGTCTGAGAAGGCACTGCATCACGGATTAATTGGCAGCCTCTTTCATAGTGGTTTATAAATTAATGATTCTGCTCGATGGTCTCTGAAAAGCCAGTGAAATATGGAAATGTTCTATGGTTTCAATGGACCAGAATTAATGCATGCATTCCTCTCTTGATGGGCGTTGGTATGTGTTTCCGGTTTACTCTGAAGCATGTGCAGACATTTTCCTGGAGTACTTGAGGGATCTGGATGCTTCCCCAAGGTTCTCTGATGGCACCAATTACTGGGGCAGTTAACAAAACATCTGGACTGCACCATCCCATCCTGAGCCTCTGGAATCAACCACTGCGGGAGATGCCTGGGCCCGTGCCTATCCAACAAGTGCTCTTTGGGGTTTTTATTCAAAAGCATTAGAAAGACGGTCCCAGGAAGCAGGCCTCGGAGTAGACCCCCAGGTCTGAGACAAGATCTCTGTGTCTTCAGCTTGACCAGAGCAGTTTCTGGTTTGTTTTCTTTCTTTTGGCTTTTGGATCACACCTGGCTGTGCTCAGGGCTCACTCCTGGCTCTGTGCTTAGGAGTCACTCCTGGCAGTGCTCAGCGGACCATATGGGATGCTGGGGATAGAACCTGGGTCGGCCACATGCAAGGCAAACACCTTACCCTCTGCACTATCTCTTCAGCCCCAAGATTAGTTTCTTTTCTTTTTTTTAAAAAAAATTTATTAATTAACCATGAGGTACAGTAACAAAAATCTCATGTTTGAACTTTGATCACATGGTCAAACACCCATCCCTTCCACCACCAAAATCCCCAGATCCCCCCATTCCACACTTCCCCTTGCCTGTGTGGCAGCTCTGTAGCACTGTCCTCCCGTTGTTCATTGATTTGCTCAAGCAGACAATTTGCAAGATATTCTTTCTCTACTTTAGTTACCTTCGATATTTAAAGACCAGTCCTACCACCCCTCATACCTGCCGAAAATGCAATGCTAGACAATGTGTTTTGTATGGCTTGTTATGGATGTAGTATAATCTCACGCGGCCTCAAGAGCGTCCATGTGCTCAAGGAATTCTAAGTTTTTAACAATTAGGGTTTGAAGAAATCACTACAGCAAGTTGCTCAGGTTCATCTGTGTGTCTCTGGATCATGGCTACGTGGGAGCTTAGGTAGATGGTGGGCAGATGTGACATCGTCTCGGCATCCCATGGAGTGGAGGGAAGGACGGCCCACTCGTCCCCTGTCACACGAGACTTGGGATTTGTCATCACCGCAAACTCATACCCAGTGCCTCTTGCTGTCTTCTAGAAAACGGCACCCGCTGGGGCTCATAGAGAGCCGGGGGAAGGACAACACCCGCCCCTGGCTGGAGCAGCCCAGCGGAGAAGGCCTTTCGAAAAGTCAGGGCCAACTCTGCCGCAAGTTGCTCAGGTCCAAGAGTCATCTGTGTGTCTCTGGATCATGGCTACGTGGGAGCTTAAGTAGACATTGGGCACATGTGACCCCAGGATCAGTTTCTTAACTCCAGTACTCTTGACGCTGGTGACAGGTACTTCTTTGTTCTGAGCGGAGAGGGTATTTAGCGGCATGCTGGCCTCTGTTTCCAGAGATAACCAGTGGAAACTGTGTCCTTCAAACACATCCGAGAAACCAAAATGCCTTTAGACATGGCAGATGTTCTCCGCAGGGGAGTGGGTGGCAGCCATCACCACCCTGGCTGAGAACCGTTGGACTCGATGATGTCTAATTGGTCGCCAAAAATGATGGCTTCGGATCGTAATCTCCTGCAATGCATAGGTGTTCCCATTGCTCTATCTCCATGCCAACTTTCACATGGCCAGACTGTTGAAATGTTTTTCCCATCTGGTGAGAATAACACAGTGTCTCAGCTTAGTTCAGTTTGCATTTCCTGACTGCTGATAAAACCGAGGTGCTTCCCATGAGTGTGTTAGCTTCTTGTGTGTTCTGTCTTTTGCCCATTAAAAATATCCTGTTGGGTCATCTCTTATTTTCTTATGGATTTTTTTTAGTAAGGATGTTGGGTCACACTTGGCATTGCTCACGGCTCGCTCCTGGCTCTGTGCTTAGGGCTCACTCCTGGCGCGATTGGGGAAATGGAATGGGGTGCCAAACCTGAGTCACCTGTGAACTAGGCAAGCCCCCTACCCACTATATTATTGCTCCAGGCTTCTTATTGACTTTTAGGCACTGAAAATTAGTCTGGGTTTGACTCCTTGGTTATTGATAATGCTTACATCTTGTGATTTGTGGTTAGAGCTTTTCTCTTGTCACTTTTGACTAAAAAGGTATTTTTGAACATCCAGGTGGTCAAGTACATCCTTTCCTTTTGTTTTTGCTTTAAAACATATTATTGAGTAAGTTCTTTCTGCCCCGATGTCATAAACATATTGCCCTCTATATTTCTCCTAAAATAGGGTGTGAACTCTGGCCTTTTACATTTCCGTCCTAAATTCACTGGGAATTGATTCTTAGTCTAAGGTATTCATCGGGCTCTGGTTTTTTCAGCCCCCTGATGCATCCCCTGCTACCCATCGCTACTGTCAGGTCTTCTTCCTTTTCCCTCTGATCTGCGATGCAGCCTGGTGGCCATCAGGGTGGCAGCCGAACTCACTCCCTGGCTTCTTACTCTGTTCTGCCGGTTGTCACTCATTTCTCCATCCAAGCACTAACCAGACCCGATGCCTGCCACTCATTTCTGCCATTCAATTTCCCCTTTTCTTTTTAATCTGGGTTGTTTAAAAACCCTCTTCCTTCCCGGGTTCGATTCCCAGCACCCCATATGGTCCCCTGAGCACCGCCAGGAGCAATTCCTGAGTGCATGAGCCAGGAGTAACCCCTGTGCATCGCTGGGTGTGACCCAAAAAGCAAAAATAAATAAATAAATAAATAAAAAACCCTCTTCCTTTACAAACAAACCTCTCTGCAAGGCACTGCAATATCTTAGGGCACACAGAGAGCACCAGGGACAAAATAAAACAAACAAACAAACAAAAACAACCGTCGTGGACGCCAAGTCCTGTCCTGTCTTCCAAAGAGCGATCTTTCCTGTTTCCCCAGCTGTCTGAAAGGGGCTGGCATTTGAGAGCTCAGGGCAAAAGGTTCGCGATAACTCTCTGGAGTTAATGCCTTTGCAACTTTGCTGTAAATAAAAAAAATAGCCCCAAACCGAAGAAACGGTTTAAAAAGATTTCTCTTGCTTCTTTTTTTTTGGGGGGGGGAGGCAGGGGGTGGGGGCACAATGCTGGGGTCTGGACCCAGAGCCTCACACACAAATGGCAAATGCTCCCCCCCCCAGCTGCACCCTCATCCATTTCTCTCATTTCTTGAAAAGAAAAAGATTATTTTTTTTTCTGTTGCTAACTTAACCCGTCACTTAGTTTTACATTTCCCATTGATCATCTCTTGGGTTTCCACCATTTATCTTAATATTTTATCTCATGTACCCTCCGTCCTGTAAATTTCTGCTTCATTGACCGGCAGTCTCTTCTATTTGAAATCTGCTTTTGCTTTTTATCTCGCTGTTAGGGAGGGGGTTGCGGGGGGGACGGGAGAACGGGGCTCTTAATGTCTCCTACTTATTGGGATTCTAACTCATTTTTCACTTCCAGCTCCTTAATCTTGTTCACTTCGCTCCCAGCTCTAATCTCTTCCTCATCAGCTCTCCCCCCTTCATTTATTCGACACGCAGATGGCTTCTTCCGCGGCTTCTCGGAGCCGAGCTTTCTTTGGGGCCTTGTTTATAACAGCAGCAAAGCGGGGCCCCAGGGAGACGGGGAGCAGCCGCGGCTCATCACGACCCGCCCCCGACTGTGGTTCTGCCCCTGCGTGGCAGCTGCGGGCGCCCCGTTGCCCAGAGCTGGGCGGCAGGTCCACCCACTGCCGCCTGCACATGCCAGGTGGGATTTGTGGGAGGTCTGCCTCTGGGACCGGGCAGGTCCTCTGCCTGGGGTCCAGCGCTTTGAAGCTCCTCGGTCCAGCCTGCCTTGGCTCTGCGGGGTGGGCGCGGACTGTTCCCTCTCTCCGTTTGCGTTAGGACAGCCTGCGGCTTTGCGCCGGGCCCCGGGCCAGCTCTGGAGAGGCTGCGTGTCCCTTGTCAACAACCCTTACATTCTCCGTGCCAGGAAAGTGCCATCTACTCGGAAGTCACCCGGGCCCGCTCCAGACTTCTCGGGTTGGACCGCTCACTCCTGGGGCACTGAGTGCTGGGTGCGGCCGGTTGGGTGGGACCCCTTCCTGCTGTATGGAAAGTGGGGCTGATTTGAGTGTTTTTCTTCCATTTGCTTTTATTTTTATTATTATTATTAGGTTGGGGGTGCTCTCAGAGTTGCTCAGGCAACTATCTGCAGTGCCGAGACTCAGACCCAGGCTTCCTGCCTACAAAACATCTCATAAAGCTATCTCTCAGGCAAGAAAGTTTTTGGGATTTTTTTCCTGTTATTGTTGGTTTGGGGGTCATATTCAGCACTGCTTGGGGCTCACTTCTGGCCCTGCACACAGGGGTCACTCTTGGATGGGTTCGCCTGCAAGGCCAGTGCCTTGTACCCCTTGTACCATCTCTCTAGTCTCAAGTCTTTTTTTCCCCTTTAAATTTTTTTAAATTTGGGAGGTGATGCCAGGGATTGAACCTGGGCCTCCTACATGCAAGGCAAGTGCTCTTCCACTGAGCTACCGGCCAGCCTAGAAGTAGGACTCGGAGTGGAAGTTTCTCCTGGTTCTTTATTGTTATTTTTCGGTGGGATGGGGGGGGGGTGGTTCACACCCGGTGGTGCTTAAGGGTAGCTCGTGATTCTGCACTCAGGGATCACTCCTGGTAGTGCCCTGGGAACCATATGGGATGCCGGGGATCAAACCTAGGATGGTCACGTGCAAGGCAACACACCCCGCACCCCTCCCCCCGCTGTGCTATGACTCCGGCCCCATCACTCCTGCTTCTTTCTGCTTGCAGTGACAGTCCTTGATTGTCCTCATCCCCACCATGGCCACCAACTCTCTGCATTCACTCTTTGCCTGTGACAGTGTGGGGGCACCTGGTGAACCCCTAAGCTTGTCAGTGCTCCAGTAATCTGATCTCAGAGGAAACTCTCCTGGAGACGTCGGCTTTCCCTTCCATTGGAGTAATAAATGATCTCTGATGGCTTAAATGGTTTTTTTTCAACTTTGGAATTTTGCTTAATGAATGATAATAGCAGCTCACACTTTAGAGGGTGCTTTTTGGCTCAAAGATACTTCTTTGTTGTGTTATCTCCTTTGATAAATAATGATAATTATCCTCATCCTGCCCCCAAGTCACTTGATTCATCTTATTTGTGAGTACACAGACTGCAGTGAGCCTTCTTTGGGAGTCTGGGTCTTAATTAACGGGCGACGTAGGGAAGGAAGCGATGAAAGATTATCTCGATTTATGATCGCAATATTTAGCATATTGGAATATAGATGAAGAAAAACAATTAGGCATAGAAAGTGGAGATAAGAGTCAAGATGTTTTGAGATAGAGAATTGAAGACCTAGATTAATAATCGTCACAAAGGAGAACGTGAACTTGTTTTTCGATCAGCAGGTAAGAGTTTAAAATGCTTTTTAAACGCAGAGATAGTTATGACAGGCGAGGTTTGTGGCGTTAAAACAGTTGCTTTCTGGCTGCTCCTGTTTTTTTTTTTTCTTTTTGGGTCACACCCAGCGATGCTCAGGGGTTGCTCTTGTCTCTACACTCCGGAATCACTCCTGGTGGTGCTCAGGGGACCCTAGGGAATGCTGGGAATCGAACCCGGGTTAGCCTCATGCAAGGCAAACACCCTCCCTGCTGTGCTATCGCTCCAGCTCCTGCTCCTGATTCTTGATGCTCTCGTTCATTCTTTCCGCAAATGTGGAGTGCCTGAGCAACTGTCCCAGGTCCTGAAACCCCAGGTCTTGGGTGAAGCAATACTGACCAGAAACAGCACCTGTGTCTGTGACCTGGCAGTTTCCTGCTTTTGGAAGACAACCTGGTCCACACCTCCACTTCCTGCAGCCATCACTGACACCCTCCCTGCTGCCCATGGACGCTCCTTTCTTTTACCCGTGCAGTGATGGCCGTGCCCAGAAGCGCGTATGCCCACCCGCGTTTCCACAGTGGAGGAGTTTTTTCAGTGAGGGAAAGCCGTCAGCATCACTGCCCTGGGCTCCCCATCCCGGCGTTCCCTTCGCCTCCTCTAATTCCCACCCCTGGCTGTAGCCCGCTGGGTGGGTGCCAACAGCAGAGGTGTTTAATGCCATTTCTTGGTTCCTCAGCCTGTGAGGCTCTTATATAAAAGATAGAGACTCAGTATGCCCCCAGGTTCCAGGTACCCTGGTCCTTGTACCCGTTTTCTAGAACCTTCCTCTGTCTTCTGCTACACACACACACACACACACACACACACACACACACACACACTCACTCACATACCATTCCTGCCCTTTCTCTCTCTCCACTGGTTTCTCCCAGTCCCTCCCCTAGCCCAGGACTTCTGGGCATGGCCTTCTCCCAGCTTGGACACAGTTAAGCACCTCCAGTGTGACAGCCCTCGGCACCGACACTCACGGGACCTGAAGGTCGGGGTACCGGAGGCTTCCGATTTGGAGGCTCTCCTTGCTGGTTCCCCTGTGTTCTGGGAGGGACACGCAGCTCCTTGAAGTTCTCCTTGGCCTCCCCACCAGCCCTCCCACCACCATCTCTTGCTGAAACTTAAAGTCAGGGTAGTGCATCTGGGGAAGGGATGGACAGGGCCGGCCCCGTGGGGGTGAGTCACTGGGATTCTTACTTGGTTCAAGGGGGACACAGGGTAGCAGAGCTTATGGACGCGCTCTGTAGACCAGGCAGCAGAAAGAGTCTCCAGAGGAAGCTGGCACTGCACCTTGTCATCCCTCCTAGGAGCTTTCCCCCTGACCTACGTTTTGGCAGTTGTATTCCATCCTTCACTGGGCTGGAGCGATAGCGCAGCGGGTAGGGTGTCTGCCTTGCACGCAGCCAACATGGCCGACCCGAGTTCGATTCCTCCGCCCCTCTCGGAGAGCCCGGCAAGCTACCCAGAGTATTCAATATGCCAGACACAGTAACAACAAAGTCTCCAATGGAGACGTTACTGGGCCCGCTCTAGCAAATCGACGATCAACGGGAGGGCCTTTACCTTTACCTTACTGAACGGAAGGTGATCTTAGAATGGTCCCTAGAGGGCGTCATTGAGGACTTTGATAGTGATGGTAGAAGGGCTCAAGCATTATCTCTCTCTGATGCTGGGGCCAGGGTGAGGGTTGAGGCCCCCTTGATCTCCTGTTCGTTGCTTATGAGCAGCCGGGTCATGTGACCAACATGAGATCCTCTTCACTCTGGCCACCGGAAAGCTCAAAAGCAAACGCTGGGTCACCCTGTCGCCTTTGTTAAGGCAGATGTTATGCCTGATCTCCTTCTTGGCTTCCTCGTTTCCTTCCAGGACATTTTCATTAGCACGTTAAGCCCCCCCTCCCCTTTCTTATGTATGAATGTTAGCAGCGCTCAGTCTTTGTGGGGAATAAGAAAAGGCGAAGTGAATCTGAGTGTCAATATTAGGTGGTAATTCAGCTTCATTTAAGCCTCAAAATGCCCCCAAGGTGGAACTGGAGTAATAATACAGCTGGGAGGACATTTGCCTTGCACGCAGCAGAACGGGGTTCGATTCCCAGCATCCCATATGGTCCCCCACTGCCAGGAATAATTGCACTGCCAGGAATAATTGCTGAGTGCAGAGCCAGGCGTAACCCCTGAGCATTGCTGGGTGTGATTTCAAGAAGCAAAAAAATGCCCCTGAAGGCCCAGGGGGTGCTGGGCTAACAGTAGACATTTGAAATTTCAAGAGAGAGAAAATGCAACTCAGAGAGGTTAAGTTAGATTCCTGCCCAGAGTGGCTGACCAGCAATGGACAGATCCAGCTTCCACATCAGCTGTTTCTCAACCCGACTCTGCCTCCATTCGCTTTGGCTTCTTGTGTCTGAGCACCTGCCCCACTCAGTGTGCTTTTCATTGTTATTCGGCTCGGTGTCCTTCTCCCAGACCTGATCCAGCCCGGCGGGGGGGGAGGGGGGGGCAATGGTCATGACTCGCCTCTCATATTTCTGGCATCTGCCATCATGTTTGGAATATAAAAGAGCTTCGGTAAATATTTGTTGAGAGAAATCAGCTTGGGTTGGTTTGGGGGAACAATTTCTTCTGATTCCTAAATGTGGAGGAAAGAACATTTCTAAAAAGTTTAAGATTCTGAAAATTGCCTTTAATTGAAGCTTCGGCGTGTATAATGGACCTGGCTGTCTTGTGCAGATGTGAGAACCTCTCCAACCCGTGTGAGACAAGGCATCACCTTTGTTTAAGGCAGTGGAAGGTATTAACATGTGTTTAATCCTGTTTGACCTTGTCTGCTGGGGACAGGGAGAAAAGAATCTTGATCACTAAATTGCACAACATTCAAATTGCACAAATAGGCTCATTAGGAAGGAGATGCTGGTTGAATAAAGTAACTTCTGTTGTCTTATTAAAGAGACTGTCTGCCAGAGGATCTTTCTTTGCTTTGCAGATGTTTTGGGTGCAGTCTGTGAAGGCTGATTGTAAATCTCAGCAATGTTGATTCTCTGAGTTCTTGAATTACACGTGTAAAATAAAATGCTGAAAATGGTTTAATCCTGAGAAAATCACATCTTAACTCCCAGATTCCCAGGAGAAGTGGGCACTTCCCCCCCCCCCATCCTTGCCCTCTTTTAAAATCAGAAGTGCCCCGAGGTAGTGTCATTCCTGAGGTGGCAGGAGGCACGGGGTGGAGTTGTCTAAGAGAAAATGGTCTCCGTCTCCCATCAGCTTGATTGGCAACGGTGCTCTCTTGCTTGTGAGGCCAGATCAGCTGTGTAATTCACATGTTCAGGACTAAGTTATCTCTTAGGGGGCCAGAGGGATAGTCCAGGGGAAAAGCACTTGCCTTGCACATAGTTTGAGTGCCCAGCGCCACAAACAGTCTCCTAAACCCCACCAAGAGTGATCCCTGAGCACTGAGCCAGGAGTAAACTCTGAACGCAGCTAGATGAGGCCCCCAAACAAAAAATAAACATGCCCATCCAAGAACCCTAAAACAAAAACAAATGAAAAGTTATCCCTTAGTCTTCTAAGCAGATAGAACAGAAGTTGCAGACGTCCCTCGGAGATGCTCTTGGACTGTCTGTGATCCTGTTCTCTCTCCCTTGGCAAATGTCAGCCGGGGAGGCTGAAGCACAGGGAGGTTGGTAATGCTGGTCGGGGTGACCAATAGGGGAGAAAAAGTCTAGACTGTGCTGATTATTAATGTTTAACTTAGGAAAGAAAATAAAGTTTCTGCTTTTAGAAAGATATTAAACTCATGAGAACATGCAAAAGTAGTACATAGTTCCCGCATATCCTTCACCCTCCTCCTGATGATGTAAGTTTGACCCAGAAGTGTCACATGACCCGGATGTGGATCCAGCAACTGGATTCTTGCTCCCCTCCGGCCTTTTCTGTATGCCAGTATTGGGCACAAGATAATCGACCAGACATACAGTCCCTTGCACGTTCAGATTTGGACTGTGTCTTCCTGTTCTGATGCATGCACACATGCTTGGGTTTTGTTTCAGATACATGGATACTGAGGAGCAGGATGAAGGAGGGACTTACTCTGCT